GTTGAAAAAATTTGGATTTCTGACAATTCTACACTTTTTTGACCGTTATATATAAAAAAAATAATTACTAAAGATTGGACTGGATAATTAAATGTTACAGGCAAACACCTTTAAATTAGGGGTAAAGAAATATTTAACAGGTAAACAATGCCTTATCAGGGGTCTGTTTAGAACGGACCCTTCACAAAATATCTTTTCATAAAAACGGACCCTTCACAAAATATTTTAACTTAAAAACGGACCCTTCACAAAATATTTTAACTTAAAAACGGACCCTTCACAAAATGATTTTTCTTTTAATCGGACCCTTCACAAATTTGTTTATCTTCATTATTATTTTGTTAATCGAATAAACCCTTTCCAGGGCAGAAAACAAGAAAGATGGATGTAAACGAATTAAGTTTTGTCTTCGGCAGACGATTCTTCCATTATTCGTCCGAAATTAATATTCTGCGTTCAGCAGTATAGGCTAAATACCAAATATTTGTATGTTGCATCTCTAATTTAGAAGCAGCAATTGTTGTTTATTTTTTAAAATTTAATTTTTTTAATTATAATTTTACAGTGTTGAGCATAATCTTGTATGTCTTTACAATTTAAAAACTCCTTGAAAAAATTTTTTTTTTTGCAATAACGGACCCTATTTGCACAAATTCATAAAAGCGGACCCTGGTTGAAAGAATGTGAGTAATTTTTTCACAATTTCACGAAAAACGGACCTTTCACAAAATGTCTGGACAGACACCTTCTTATGCCTTTTTAATTTTATGCTGATGACAGCCAAATAATTCTGGACGAAATTGGGGCATACCATGTGACTTATCTGTCCAATGAGAGACTGTTATTTGATTTTTAAGTTTTTATAAACATAGAATATTATTACTCACTTCTGGCCTAGACCTTATTAAAAAAGCTGTCTATACTAATCCTTGAAATTGTAATGCCTTGCTTTTATGACTACTTGAATTTTGTCTTTAGTTTTGCGTGTGAACCATGTTCCGAGGCATTTGCATTCGATGGAAATCCTGTTTTCGTAGACAACACATTAGTGAATTTAACCTTTTTATTTTTGTTTTAAACTTAATTATCTGTGTTAAAAAACTTACCGAAATTAAAAATAAGTAAAGAAACACGCAGTCTTTTTCTAGTCTCGCCTATTCGTGACGTCAATTAGTCTCATTTGTTGTCTCGCAAAAAATGATCAAAAGTAGATTTTTCTTTTTTAGAATTCTTAAGTTTATATTTTATATTTAAAAGAAATTAAAAATCGTGAAAGTAGTTATTAAAGGAAATAGCCGAAAATCTTCGTTTGAGTTAACGAAAGTGCATTGTGAGTTTAATAATGTAAATTAAAATAATAAAATGTATCTATATTTATACTAGAAATATTTAAGTTAAAAAATAGATAAACTATTACAATGTAAAAAATAATCAACATTAAAATATAAAATTACACGAAGTTGATAGTTGTTTGATGTGAAGGAAAAAATATGAAAATTCAAACTTGATCAAATCGTTAATTATCATTTGGCTGTGAGTGAATAAAGAATATAATTAGGTATAAAATTGTTCAAAAAGCCAACGAAATGCCTGTTTTTGTAAGCTTTTGTGTCAGGGAGGGAAAAAGTTCACACAGTTTGAATGCCTTTAACTCATAATTATAACTGCAAACACTATTTTTCAAAAAATAATAGATCAGACTTATAAAAAGCAAATATTTAAAAATGAAACTTTTTTAAAATTAACTAAAGGTTTTTCACCTTGAGGAAATTTATTGAAAATTATTTTTCATGTTTACATATTTTCTTGGGCCTAACAATGCAGTAATAGTGTAACTTTGCAAATGTATAAGGCATTTAGTGAAAAAACAAATTTTTTCACTTTCAAGAAACTAGATTTCCTTTATATTGTAATTTAACTTAAATAAATCACGTAAGAGTGCCCTGGCTAAAGATGGATATAACTTAACCTAACTATTACATCATTCATAAAATATAGTTAATTTTTTGAAGTTTTATGTAAACGAGCCTTGAAAAAACATCCTATGTTTTAGTTAAAGCATGTTTTGGTGGTGTGACTGATTTTCCCCCTCTGTATTTCTTACTAACATATTCTTGTACCTCTTCAAGTACTCTCTCTTTTTCTGCTGTGTGTGATGTTTCTCTATCGTAATACTTCTCATTTGTGACCAGTGTCCAAAACTATGTTGGCGACGAGCTTGAAGGAATCGGCCCCCATTGAGTAAGACTCGTCAATAATCCCCCCACCCCCGCATGCCATATTGTCTCTTCACTTGCTACTCAGCTTTTTCTCACTCTTTATACTATGTTTTAAACTAATCACTTTCGTTTGCTAGCCAATTAAGTACGCACATGCTTTTAATTTATTATTTTTTGAATGATCTCTATCTCCCATTGCCGTTCCTTTCAAGCTATTCGTGAAATCTGTTAACCTTTTCTTATTCCTTAAACAGTTCGTTAATCCCTACTTAATTCCCTACTTAATTAAAAAAAATTTGGAAATTGTTTTTCGTCAGATGCATTAGAATTATGAAATGTTCGATTGCGATAATATTTAAAATAATTTTTTTTAAAATTTAATCGAAAAGTATTCAAACTACCGATCTGTAATATTTTTATCTTTAATGATCGACAGTTTGGTGTTAAAATATTGAAAGAAATTGGAAGTATGTACAGGGTTTTTGAAGAGACTGCCCTTAATATGTATTTTTATAATCCTAATCAAAAATTTATATTAAGTGTGCACATGAAGTGTCGCAAATTAATATTCTAACTGGGGAAGAAAAATTCGATTAAAATCTTAGAAACAAAGGCGTAGCGTCAGGGGGGGGGGGCACGCTTTTTGCTTTTAGAAAACTGTTCCTTTATTTTAAGTTTTATATATGTCTATATGCATTTATAAATAAATCTACATACATATAAAAAATTAATATGCATAGATATTAAAGTTAAAAAAAAAGTTTTCTGTAAACAAAAAGCGTGCCCCCTCCCCTCCACACTCTACACCTATGCTAACAAATCCTAGTATAAGAGGACCGAAGTAATAAACAACAAAACGTGTTTGATTGGGGGAGTTGATTAACAACACCCTAACTCCTTAAAATTTTAACAATTTTCCAATTAAAACTCCTTTGATGTTTATTACATTCGCTTTCCTCTATTGTAATTTGTCGTATTTTAAGTGTTTCTGATTTTTCCGGATTTATATAATGGTTAGACACTCTGTGTATATTTCTTTTAACTTTTGATAAGGATTCATAAAATATAAAGGGCTATCTTTATGCAACATCCTGTATAGTCAGTCACAAAAGTTAGTACTGTATTTTCGCTCTTTGACAGGAAAATTTTTATTTTAAATTGTTAATGTTTTGAAAGGCCAAGATCAATACTTTCAAAATTAGTATTCACTCCAAAATTCGTATAGGCATTGAAGTTCCCTTAGACAGTTACAGTCTTGGTCCTTTATTGAATAACTGGAACACTAAATGTCAGGTAATAGGCATTCAGAGCTAGAAAGCCTATATTTGACATTGCCTTAAGTTTTGTTTTGCGTAAGAACTATTATACTTAAGTTACTTGTTTTTGATTAAAACCTATTTTTAAAACTGCTGTTCAAATGACTACTGACTGTTATCAGTAAATTATATCACGTAACAATTTTTCATTTAAATGAATAATAATACTATGTCTGTAATCTTGGATCACAGCCTTACAAAATATTTTAATTTTGAAACTTAAGATTTTTCTTTTAAATTGTTAAGTGTGGAAGTGCTATTTTTGCAGGTGTTTACTAACTTTAGTGTGGCTAAAGGTTAACTATTGTTTAGAAGCCTACCACGTTTATAAATTTTTAAATTTTTTTTTTAAGTATTGAGGCAACATTATTAGAAAAAACAAGTTTAAGATTTTACGTTTTCTTCACCTATTAAGGGGATGTAGTTACTGTTTTTTATACATTTCTAAAAGATGCTTTTAAAATTCTATGCCAGAAGAGGTTAACAAATTTAAATTTCCTTCAAATGCATGACTCCCACTCTCTTAAAACTGTATTTTTTTAGGTGACCCCCCCTACTTTTTAATTATCTAAGTTTGCTTTTTAAATCATAAAGTTTTTTTTTTTCCTTTAAATTTTTTAGTGCATGAATAATAGCGTGCAAATTGCTTTTTGAATCTTGTAGAAATGCAATTTTAAATCCAGTATCTATTGCTAGTTTCAACCAGCTGAAAAATTCCCAATAAATGTTACAAATTGTTCATCTGTGCTAATTAATTTGCTAATTCCTAAAATTCATACTTATTTGCTAATTAATTTTTAATGAATACTAATGAAAAATCTGTAGTTTTTTTTTTTAAAAATTCATTTATATGGTGTATTTATAGTTATTGTGTATGAAATACCAGTGCCATTTGTTGTTGCAAAGTAGTAATTTTTTCTTGATTAGTGTTTCCAGATATTTTAATAAAAGTTAATATTTTATAACTATGTTAAATGTTTTAAAAATAAATTGCTTTGCTTAAACGTAATATTGTTTATTTAGATAGTTTGCATTGCAATAAAAAATCTTTAAGAAATTTTTTAAGTGTGAAAAATATGCCATCTATGTTTACAAATTTTATAATTTAAAAAATGTATCTCTATAATTTAAAAAATGTATCTCTATAATTTAAAAAATGTATCACCTTTCAGCAAAATTTTTTGTTTCGAATTTTTTAAAATCTTTTTTTGAAAAATAAGAAGTTGCAAGTATTTTTTAAAAACTCTTTCAAAGAAAAGTAAATTTCATCGGACAGTCTGATACTTTTTTTTTCCTCACTGCTTCCTTTAATTAGTTTTCAAGAAGTGAGAGAAATTTCTTGTTAAAGTCAAGTTATGTTTCAGAACATTTTTTTAAAAATATCGAAATAGGATTATCTTTACTTTTTTTTCTCTAAAAATGTTAGTAATCATTTTAATATTTTAAAATTGTTTTTCCATTTTAGTTATGGCTCTTTACTGGTCAAAAATGTGCCACAATTATCACTTAAAAGCCAGGTTCTACAAAGTGGTATTAGGAACTTAAGTGTAGTCCATGGTGACCTAAGTAGGCTAAATGAAAGTGTTAGGAGTTACATTGAAGAAAAGGCTAGATTATGTCAACCAGACAATCTCCATATCTGTGATGGTAGTGAATCAGAGAATGATTATCTTCTAAATCTCATGATGAAACAGGGAATGGTGACACCTTTACCCAAATATGAAAACTGGTAAGTTTATGTTAACATAACACTGGTAGGTTTCAATTTCAGTAGAAATTTTTTCTTTTTGATAACAATTATAAAAATGAGCAGTTATGAAATCTAAATATTGTATGTTGAAATGTGATTGTTAAAAGATTTTTTAAATTTAAATTCTATTATAGTCTCGATCATTTTAATTAAACCTCTAGGAAATATATTGAAAATGAAGGAATGATTTTTAATTTTTGCATATTTTTTTTTAACCTAAACAAGTTAATTAATATTATTAATCGTTTATGTAAAATTGGTAGGTAGGTTTTAATTTCTATAGGTGCTTTTCTTTTTGATACCAATACAAGAGCCGCTGTGACTCAGGAGATAGGGCGTTCACCTCCCAATGAAGTGCCCAGGTTTGAATCCCAGCAGTGGCTGGTTGAAACAAATTCTGCGCCTGGCTCACACCGACCACAGTGCTGGTGTAAAATATCCTCAGTGGTAAACTGATCATGGGTCAGAATCTCTTGTCAAATTTTGATCTAACAGTGGGAGATTTTCGTGGTTTCCTCTGCATGTAACGCAAATGCTGGTAAGTCTCTCTGAAGGCTAGTTTTCCCAAATGCTTGATCCAGAAGTTCCGTTGTCTTCTGGGCTGGGTTCAAAATTACAAGGATGCAGGGTTTTACGTTGATAGTCTTAAACTCAGAATGGGATCGGCTGCTCAACACTAGTCATAAAATAAAACATTACAAATGTGAAGTTGCCCAAATTATTGAACCTAAATTGTGTACGTTAGTACGTTGTTATTTAATAATTTTTATATTTTAATTCTGTTACAGTCTCGAGCCTTCTAATTAAATTTTATAGTTATATTCAGGTTCCTATAAAGTTATGAACTAAACCTCTTAAGTATTATGTATTGTACATGAAGTTGATTTTGATAGTTTTTAATTTGTTACTTTTTTTAACTTTTTAAATTTCAAATTCTAAATGAAAGTCTGTATGTTTGTAGAAATTTACCATCAGTGTAATTATTTAATTTTTAAAAATATGAATGCAGAAATTGTATAAATTGTATAATGAATTAAAATCATTTTGTAATGAAAATGCTGAATATATAACAAAGTAGTTTGCTGTTCTTTGTTTTTTATTTTGACCCTTTTATTTTATGCCTTAAATGGAGAAAAATGGGTAATTTTAATGTTTTGTAAAATCATTCTCTGATGTTACGGCTAAGGACGTAACACATAACCACTTACGAATATTGTTTACAATTCCACAAAACTAAATGTGCTCACCTTTGATTGAATCCTTCATCTTGTCCTGCAAAGTACTTATGTTTACGATTTTGTTTTATTTTATTACCATCATTGAACAGACAACCCAATTTTTTTGGGTTTACGACTACTAATTTTCAACTACATAGCTTTGTAATTTTGAACCCAATACAGAAGACAAGCAAACTCCTGGATCAAGTATTGGGATAAATTTGCCTTCATGTAGGACTTTTACATTACATGGAGAGGAATTACTCCATGTAACGCATTTGCATTACATGGAGAGGAGGATCTCTAAAGCCGTAATCTATAGCACACATCAATGGTATGAGGGGCATTCTTAAATATCATATTGTTATGAATTCATTTGCAGTTTTCTTTATGATTTTTCCTTTTCTTGCTTTCTGAATTTTAAAAAAGGTAAATAAGTCCTTTTTAAGATTTTTATTTTATTTTTAGAAAAAAACATAAAGGAGCAATGTTTTCAAATGTTACAATAATTATTTTACCGAAGATCACATTTGTTTTATATTCATGTGTCTTTTTATTTTGAATAGCTGGCTTGCTCGCACTGATCCAGCAGATGTTGCTAGAGTTGAGAGCTTAACATTTATGTCCACCCCCAATAAGAGTGACACTGTCCCCACTCCAAAAGAAGGAATCAAAGGAACTTTAGGTAACTGGCTATCGCCTTCAGATATGGAGAAAGCATTCGGTGAAAGGTTTCCCGGTTGCATGAAAGGTAAATACACGAATTTTTAAATGAAATGAAATGTATGCACTGTATGCATGCTTTACAGAACACATTTCTATTCTGTTCTTGCTTTTTTTCTACAAAACTTTCTAAAACTCATAAATCTATTGTGCTCTTCACATATTCTTCCATGACACACTTGTAGTAATTTGTTTCTATTTACTGGCACTTTCTGTAAGATGAATAGCTTTCAATATTGGTTAGGTATTTGTGTTTTTATGTTTGATTTGGAGGCGTCATCTTTACTATGGTCAAAATTGCTTCATAATCATATTTGTTTATTGGTGTTAAACAGATTATAATACCAAAATTAAAAACTATTCAGTTATAAGATCTTGACATTTGTTATTGCATTGACAAATATTTGGTTTTAAAAATTGAGTTCCTGGTTTTGTTGATGAAACTTAATCATTTTGCTTAATCATTTAATTGAAGCTACATCCACAAACTTGTTTTTTAAATAATTATTTAATTTCTAGTTACTATCAGAACTCATTTCTTTCAAGTACATTTAATTCAAATCAGCATTTTTTAAATATCTATTTTGTATTCATCATTTTAAATGCATGTTCTGGACTGTACACATATTTACACAAAATTTATTATAAAAGTGAATATAGCTTATTCATAGTAATTTAAGCAATGAATTGAACATAGCTATTCAAATTTTTAATTTAAGACAATATTTTTAATAAAATATTGTGTAATAAGGTAATATGGAAACACTACTTCTGGGTCCAAACTTTAAATTTTGAATAATGATCTAAATAAAAAGCAAAACAGCAAAGAAGCAAAGCAATAACGACAAAGATATGTTAAAAAGTTCAGGTAATTACTGACAGATAAAGGATAAGTAAACAATTTAAAGATAGGTAAGCAATTTAAAGATAAATACAGTAATAAGTTTTATCTTATACTGATTATATACAAAGATATATTGATCACCTTTGTTTATTAAAGATGCTATCATGTTATTAAGTTTAAAATTTCCTAAAATACCTGGAAAAATCCAGGAATTTTAATTTGGAATTCAGTAGGAACCCTGTTAAATTTTCTTTATGTGCACTGTTGGTAAAAATATTTGGAGTTACTATTGTGTTATCTTGGAAAGCGCGATTTACATTTGCATACTTTATAAGTAAAAAATTTTAGCATATTTTAAAATTTCTTAATCAAAGCATTTTAAAATGGTGTACTTTGTATACATACAAAACTTGTACCAATTACAGTAAGCAAAAGAAAAATTAAAGCTTATTCCTTTCTGAATAACAGCGATTTCGAAAGTGTTAAATTTTTGATGTTGATAATAGATTTTGATCAATACTCTGATAGCTGAAACAATCAGAAAAATGCGCATTTTCTGGATAGCTTAATCTATTAACCTTGGAATACACTTTTGTTCAACTCGTTCCACAACTCTGACTTTTCGTTCATATTTTTAAGTTGCCCACATCTCAAGCGAATTTCTATGAGGGAAAATGTCATCAGGCCCATTGTACTAGTAAATATTGTATGATGAAAGATTTTGTCAACAGGTTAAACTTGATTGGCCTATTGAACTAAAAAAATATATGCATTTAAATGGTAATGTTAGTTTGGGAAAAAAAATCCAATGTATTAAAAAAAAAAATTATTCAGAAATGAACCAAGTTTAAATAAAAAAATTTTGCTTGGTATAAATTTATATAGATTTCAAATACAGTGGAGCATCGTTTATACGACGATCACTTATACGACGTTTACATTTATACGACGTTTTAGTGTGGTCCCAAATCATTCCTATTCATTTTAATGTAAAAATATATCGTTTATACGACGCACAGAATCGGTTATATAGTATACTTTAANTATTTAAGAAATGCCAAATTTTAAATTCTTCATTTTAGTTCCTGAATTTATTAATAGTTCCAAGCTTTTTTGTTTGTTTGTTTATTTCTAACAATTAAGAAGTGCAAAATTTTGAATCCTTTGCAAATCAAGCTATAATGATAAAAGTAAGTATTTCTATATGAATGTATATCCTTCTATAAGAATACATATATATAGTTGCAAAATCAATAGCAATCATTTACAACATTCATTTATAAAAACAATTATGTGAAAATAATATATTACCTGCTATATGCCATAAATTAAAGAAAACAGTAGGTTTTTGACTGTTTTTACCGGTAAAAACACTGTTTTTACCACTGTCATGTCAAAAAGCAGTTTTTGACTGTAAAACCCCAACCCTGTTCAGAAATGAACCAAGTTTAAATAATAAAAAAATTTGCCAGGTATAAATTTATATAGATTTCAAGTATATAATTTCTAATAAAATCTTTCGTCCTTAAAATTTTAAAATGATCTGTTTTGTAGCATAAACTTGGCTGACCTATTTAACTGAAAAATTTATGCAATTAAATGACAAGGTTAGTTTCGGAAGAAAATCAATTGTATTAAAAAAAAAATTTATCCAGAAAGGAACCAAGTTTAAATATTTTTTCTTATTTTTTCTACAACTTTATATAGATTTAAAATGTATAATTTCTAGTAAAATCTATCATCATTAAAATTTTAAAATGTTCTGTTTTGTAGCATTTTCAAAAGTATCAAATTTCAATAGAAGTAGCCCTGTCAAAAAAAGGATGATACTAAACTCTTTTTCTAAAAGTGTAGACATATTATGTTCACATAAAAGGCTTTGGAATTTTATTATTTACCTGATATTTTTTCCATTAATATTTTTTAGGTCGTACTATGTATGTTATACCCTTCAGCATGGGACCCATAGGTTCACCTCTGTCTAAGATAGGAATTCAATTGACTGATTCTCCATATGTTGTTGCCTGTATGAGGATAATGACTCGTATGGGTGCTACGGTGCTTAAAGTTCTTGGAAATGATGAGTTTGTTAAGTGCTTGCATTCCGTTGGGCAGCCTTTGCCTACTAAAAGTAAAATTCTTCAGATTTACTTTATCAACTTTTTGATTTAATTTTGCTCGTATTTTTTTAACTTCAGAATGCTTTATTAAATGTAGTAATTTTTGAGAATTAAAGTAAGAATTTAAAACAATTCAAGAAATATTTACTTTATTAATGACAAAAGTTTCTGTATTTTGCTTCTACTTAAATCTTGCTGTAAATAAAGGAGTCACCTACAATTATCACAAGAAAGGCTTTTTTTTTTCCAATTTAAGAATTATTTTTGCATTTATTATTTAACATTTAATAGACCTATGTGTAGACAAGTCTTTTTGATATCATGCTTTCTTCTTTTAGAATGTTTTTTTTTCTCAGAGTACAGTTTTGCAATAAAATTTTTTTTTGTAGATGAATGACAATTTAATGTTAATAAAGAAAAAAAAAATCATTAGTTAAAATATCAAAAATAACACAAAGAAAGTTAAAAGGTTCTTTTTTATAACTGTTGAATGGAAAATTAATCACAATTTTTCTTTTTTTTTCTAAGGGAATTGTTTATTTTTTTGTACTATATCTCAGTTTTGCGTAATGGTCTAATCATTCTTGATATTGCAGCTTAACATCTTATTATTTTCAGTATTTATTGTTAGATGTATGTGCAGCTAATAATAAATACAAATTACTGAAACCTCATCAGAATTATTGAGTCAATTTATATTTGAGAAGTGACCATTCAAACCTCTTCAGTATCTTTTAACAATTTTTATATGAAATTCCCTACATTTTTACTAAAGCAAAATTCCTTTTTTAAGGCTTTTTATTTCAATTTTTTTTTATAAGCTCTTTAATTAAAGTAATGGTTTGAAATTTCTGTAATAATATTGCAATGTAATAAACAGTTTGGTAATATATTTCATGTTAGCCTAACTTAAGATTTTAAAAGATTGAGTATTTAATGTTGTTAAAAGAAACTCTTATTATTTGATTTTTAGAATTATTCGAACTATTATTTGATTCTTAGGAATTAAAATATTTCTGACAGAGGGAAATTATAAGCAAAATCTGTATGATATCGAACTTTTTAAATAATTTTAATCTTAAGTTAGTTATTTACAATAATTTTTCTTACATTAAACTTCATTTAAAATATCACATTCATCCAATTGATTAGTTTTAAAAGTTGTTTGGTTTTAGTGATCCTATGGCAAAATCTGAATTAAAATTGAAATGAGAGGCTAAACAGATAATATATTGGCTACTATAGTACTATATTGGCTATATCATTATGATTGTTACAGGGTTTTAAAAAACTTGTTAATATTATAAGTTTTAGTTTTATAAAATAATGATGTAAAATAAATTTTATTTTGTGTTTTTAATTTAAATGTAAAATATTCTAATTGTTAAATTGAAAATGATTTTTAAGTATTTATCATTAAATTAACAGATTTTATCATTTATTATTAACTTGTGACTCTAAAAATGTCAAATAGATAGCTATGTCTGTTTCTACTTCACTATTAAAGACTTTAATAAGTGAGAAATGTATATTTAAATTAACCATGCCCACTGACAATAAATTTACATATGGCAGTCTGATGAGGTAAGCTGACTGTTATTTTTGTTTAAAAAAAATTGCCCTGTTTAAAGCTCTTGTAGTAATGACTTTTTCTTTCTTAGAACCACCTATAAATAATTGGCCATGTAACCCTCAAAAGACTATCATTGCACACATTCCAGACAACAGTGAAATTTGCTCGTTCGGCAGCGGGTATGGTGGAAACTCCCTTCTTGGCAAAAAGTGTTTTGCTTTAAGGATTGGTTCCATTCTTGCAAAAAGAGAAGGATGGTTGGCTGAGCACATGCTGGTAAAAACAATTGTACATTTCTTGATAATTTATGAATTAGGAAGCTTCACCTCATTGTAACTCACAGCAACATATTAATCTGTAGGCTACATATTTACCGTAATTTATTTTGATGAGGCTTTTAAATATTATAAACTAATTTTACAAGTTTTGTCAAGTATTGAGGCATAAATAAGGATCAGAATTTATTACAAGGCGTTATTTAGAGATTTAATTTCTCAAATATGTAAACAGTTCATTATAAATCTGAGTGAATGCTGGATGTTCCTTGTATGGCACTTGATCTTCCTATTGATTTAAATCTAACTAATTCAAACGCTATTATATATCAATAATAAATTTAGTTTAAATTAAACTGAAACAAGCAATATACAAATTTGAAGAAGTAAAATAATAAACTAATGAAAATGTTTCAAAATATATATAAAAAAATAGTATAAGTTTTTTAGTATACAAATGCAAATATGCTATATTTAATTCAGTTTAGTGCATTAATAGGAGGTAAATCTTCAAATAGTTTTTAAATTTAGATTTTTTAAATTTTTTAAGACACATTATTAATTTATTACATAATAGTAAACTTTGAACTGAGAAAAAAAAGGAAGTGAGCAATATTCAAAGTATAAAAATAAACAGAAACTTACTGAAAATGACTCAAACTTTACAAATCTTAACGCTAATGAGTTTAATGTTGAATACTTATTACAGAATTAGATATAATTGTAACATGCGTAATTGTGGAAATTAATTCATGCTGCCATTAAATCAATTAGCAACATGAAAGTTAATTCCAAAGCTGAAATTACACTAATATAGTTTTTGTAGTAATATATATACAGTTCCTTGTACATGCTTACATGAATCACTTAATTTCATTATACAGAAGATGTTTAGATCTGATCACAGAATCTGACTATGATTGTGTAGTAAAAATTATATCATTGCCAACATCCGTAGACATGGAGTTTGCCTAAAAAATTTAAAACTTTACTTTACGATAATCAAATAGGTGTTATGACAATATATTTCATGTCATGTAGAGATTGCCATTATTCTATCACATTAGCTTAGCATTTCAAATGTTATTTCAATCAGTGTAATTGAAAAGTTATAGAAAGTAATTAATTTTTATACATTTTCCAACTAATTTATTACATATTCGCTTTTATTTTTAGTAACTTTAGTAAAATCTATTTTAAAGACCAAAATGTTTTGATTCCTACATTCTCATTAAAAAAAAAATTACTATGTTTTTTAATGGTCAGTGTTCATTTCATTTTATTTATGGAATAAAATATCTTAAATTTTTTTTTGTTGTTCTGATTGCCAAAAAATATTTAATCCTACATAGATTCTGGGTATTACAAATCCACAAGGTGTGAAAAAATATATTGTGGCTGCTTTTCCAAGTGCCTGTGGAAAAACTAATCTGGCTATGTTAACTCCAACCTTGCCTGGCTACAAAGTAGAATGTGTTGGAGATGATATCTGCTGGATGCGGTTTGACGAAAATGGGCAGCTGAGAGCCATTAATCCAGAATATGGCTTCTTTGGTGTAGCTCCTGGTAATTGTTAATTGTTTTTTTTTCTTTTTTGTGTGAGGTGGTGGATGAATATTTGCATTTAATAAATTAAAAAGTAAAAAGCATTATAATTAATATAATTTATTGTGTTTCTAATGATTTTCTTGTAAGAATAAAGATAAAATACCAAAATTGTAAACTCTAAATAATAAAAATAAGAAAACAGTCAAGTTTATATTGGATGTTTTATTTTTGTCTTGTATTTGTATTTTCTTTATCTTTGTATTGCATTTTTGGTACTAAGTCCTAAAAACAAAAGATTTTCTAGTTGCAATTTGTTTTTTTTAATGACAGATTTCATTTATGAAACTGACTTAACCTATTTGATTTGGACTATTTTCTTGATGCAATTTTATATTCTAATTTCTCTAATTGCACCAAACTATGAGAAATAGACATGTTATATTTTAATATAATTAACATATGTTAGATATAATATGTTAATATTAGATATGTTAATGCTTCGACCATGGAGACCACAATATTTTGTTTCCTGAGACACTATTATGGGAATGTTATTGAACTTTTTTTTTTTTGTAGACATTGGTTATGACCCTCGTCATATAAAATAATGAAAAGATAATTGATATATGTTAAAAAAAAAAACTATTTTGAGAACAATTTTTTATTTTAATTTCTTTATCACCACCAATTTAAGAAATATGTTAAGAAATTTTATCTCCAATTAAGACATATTTTCCTCCATGACAAATTTTCATGCGAATGTTCAGGAGCTTTTTTATGTACATCGTAACTGATTCCCTCATCGCATAAAATTACGAAATTATAATAGATAAATATAGTGAATCATACTATTTGAGGCATAATTTTTTGTTCTAATTTTTTTACTTCTGTGATAGCAAAAGTATAATAAATATTTTAAGATATTGTTTCTGTTGTAAGCTAATTGTGAAATTTGATTCTTTACAATTAGCCACTTTTATTTTTTTTTTAATGTGCCTGGCTATTGGGAAAAAGTCTTCAGTATTTTCTAATCAGCCTAACACTTTAAGTCAGTGAGCTCATATACCTTTAGGTTAATTAGCAAATATCATTTATTACTTAATTAGCATGTACAGTAGGGAACCGATTTTCCCGAACGATCGGGACCATCGCTATTCCGGATAACTGATTTTTCCGGTTTTCGGAAAATCTACAAAAAGCAGTTTTTTTTTATTGTTAAGCCCAACTAAAAAAAAAAAATTTTGGAAATAATCTTAAAAAGAAGAAAAAACAATCAAGTAATACACTGATTTTTTTCGAAAATGATGGTAAGGTAAACATCTTTCAAAAGAGAAAGAAAAATCCCAAAATGTTATGAGGAAAAAAAAATTTTTTTTTTTAAATGGCGAGAAAATTTATCGAATTTTGTTCCGGTTTTTTGGTTTTCCGGTTTTCTGATTTCCGAATAACGGGTTCTGTACTGTAGTATGATCTGTTTCAAGCAGTATGAAGTGANCCTTTAGGTTAATAAGAAAATATCATTTATTACTTAATTAGCATGTAGTATGATCTGTTTCAAGCAGTATGAAGTGAGCCCATAGTTTTGTAGTCTTATTGGTCATAATCTTATTAAAGTTTTGTTGCAGTAAGTGTGACATTAAGTCACAGCCTAATTTCTAAATATCCGCCTAAGTAAATTCAGTCTGATTAAATTCTTCATACACTTCCTAAGTTGCCTAAAAGCATGTGTTGATTATAATAAGTCTAAAAATAGGAGGCTGATTAGAAAATAGTAGACTTTTCCAATTCGTCTGGTACATTGTGAAATGCTATCAACATTTGCAAAGAGTCATACTTTTCAACTAGCCTGCAGCATCTTCATTACCAATATTTCATTCCATAACAAATTTTCCTTCTCAGGGACGTCAATGAAAACGAACCCAAATGCCATGCTGACCATTCAAAAGAATACAGTGTTTACTAATGTTGCTGAAACCCATGATGGGGGAGTGTTCTGGGAAGGCTTAGAGGAGGAAACTCCTTCAAATGTTAAAATAACATCTTGGTTAGGAATGGAGAATTGGACTCCGGAAGTAGGAAAACCATCTGCTCATCCTAATTCCAGGTAATTTGCTTATTTTCCTCTCAAAACTTTGTGCCACAGTGATATTTTTTTTGTCATCAAATTTGATTTATTATTTATAATTATTGTATCTTGATTTTAAAAATTTGCACAAATGAATAACTATCGCACATATTTTCTCAACTTGGTACATACGTAAATAAGTACATCATTTTTCACAATATATATTGTAAAATATCTTGTATGAAAGTATTTAAAAAATTCGATCAAGATTACATTTGCTTGATGTACAAATGCTTGATGTGTAATTTTTTTGTTGCATAATAAACTGTAATTAAATGCTTATGCATGTGGGTGAAATGGCAACTTTTATCCCAAGACCCACTTCTTGATTTTTTTTAAGGGGTTCCATTAAAGATACGGTTGATGCCACTAATCAGGAGAACCAGGGTTGACAAGTTTTTAAATTCTGACAGTTTTATCTGATTTTAACTTTGTTTTAATTGTTGTGTCAAAAATTCCTTTTTGACATATATATTACAATTATAAAAACTCCCAAAGTTTTTCTGTAGAAAATTACTAGCTATTATTTATACAAAATAGTTTATACAAAATAGTTGTTGTTTAGTTAGTTGCAATTAAAAGCACATAAAATTACAAGTGAGCAGTCTGTTCTTTTATCATTTTGACGTTGGACCCCTTTTTTTTTGTTTTGGCATTTACTATCAAAAATCTGAAATTTTGGTCTGGAAAATCATAATCTGTATTATAATCATAATCTGTTTATCAAGTATTAAATAAAAATAAGTAAAATTGCAATTTATTCACTCTAATTAGTGAATCTGGATCAGATTGCTTTGCTTAATTAAATTATAACTATTAAAAAGTTTACAGATTAAAGTTTGTTTAATACATAAACAAACATAATCTTTATAAAGTTTAATACATTTAAGTTAGCATACTAAAATCAACATATATTGGAAAATTTCTTTTAATAACTGTGCTAAATATCAATAATAACATAATTAAACACTTGAATTGATTGAAAAGAATGAATCGTTTTAAACAAATATTTAAATTTTTGTAAATTCTAATTAGTTTATCAGGAGATATATTACAATGATTTACAAATAATGTTCATATAAGCATTGACTACAAATATTGAGAATCAAAAAGTATTATACAAGTTAAGATGAAACAAATATTAGCGACCACTGAGGTTTTACTTAAGCTAAAAAAGATAACTAACTCACTAGTCATTATCTGTAATGTAAACTGAATAGTTTTTATTTATCAAATAATAATAATCTTAAAGAATAGTACAATGTTTTTTGAGAAAGCAATTATTGATTTTAAAAATTTTGGGCATTATGTTTCTTTATACATGATATATAATATGAATCATAATTATAAAAGTAATTATAATGCAAGATTCAGGCATGATTTAAGCAGTTATAAAGTTTGACTTCTAGTAAAATGTCTTCAATGTTAAAGCAGGAACTTGCAGAGGTTTTTTGACAGCTTTTGTCTGATTTTAATAGTTTCTGACACTTTTCATCAGTTTTTTGATGTGCTACGTCAAATACCAGTTTTTGAGGTCAAAGTCCAACCCTGTAAAAACACTGCTAAAAATTAAAGAATCACATTTAGGAAGCTTTAAGATTAGTAATGCGCATTTTATTAAAGTCTCTGCGCGAAATTTAAGTTGAAAAAGTCATCAAACTTGTGAATATTGTTGTAAGTTTGAAAAAAATTTGTTTCATGTTGAACAATATGTTTTAGTTCTTATTTATCTTTTTAGCTTTATATTTTTAAGTTTTTGTTAGTTTAGTTTACTATTATATATTGTGACTTATAGGAGAAGTTGTTGTAGTTTTTATGACCTTTTTTTAAAAATTTATTTTCCTTCAATTAAATGAACTTGTTAAATCTTAAATATGTCATATGAATAATAGTTGCTCTCAAAATTTTGTTTTGCTTAGCACACTTAAACTAGTTTTTTTTTCTTTAAAGAAAATTTTTTATCATTGGTTACCTGCATTTAATTTGAATTTCTTGATAAAGTTCTCTTTATGTAGTTTTTAAAATTGTAATTTCCAATGCCTTAAATTCAATATTAACTAATGCAAATTTAACTAAGTTTTGAAGTTTTTATTATTTCTATCTCTGGCTGCATTGCTGGAACTTAACTTGTTCATTTGAACAGGCAACATTACTTTTGTGTTGGAAAATTTTTTATGGGTGCTATAAATCAAAATAAACAAATTGAAAGATTGAACCCAGTGCAAACAAGAACTTCATTAGGCTTATCTCTCTCTCCTTTTTTTTTTTTTTTTTTTTTTTTTTTTTTTTTTTTTTTTTNTTTTTTTTTTTTTTAAATGCATGTTTTTCGGGTGCAAAATATTGGGCCCCAATTGTTTATGTTTCATGGTAACAAAATGATTGAATTTTTAAATGCCTAGTTTCTTGTGTTTGATATTGTTACATTGAGTATGTATTAATAGTTTTCTTATCTTGTATTTGGTTTAGATTGGCCACATCCAGCTATTGTACCCTCAATCCATTCATTCCTGATTTGCAATTTTTTAATTGTCTGTTTATTAATAATAGAGACAATTCTGTTTATTAAAAGTGAACTGGAAATCTAACAAAAAAGAACTTAAACCAAATATTTTTTTTATTTAAATGTTAAAATATCACAAAATTAAAATCTAAAATGTTATATTTAAGGAACTTATCTTATAATTATATTTACTAAAATATTTGCTGTGTGACAATAATTAAACATCCTTTTCTTCATGATATTACTGAAACCTATTTTTAAGTAAGTCTTTGCAAGTAAAAAGGACAAAGACTACATTATCATACATGAAATCAATTAAAATTCATTCTAAAAAGTAATTTGTATGAGCTTATTAAGTATTTTTAAAATTGCTCTATAAAATGAGAGGCACTAAGTAGTTTCAAAATTAACTATGAATTAAGTACAATATTATCAAAATGCTTCATGCACAAAATCAATTAGAATCTTTTCAAACATTTTTGAAACTGTTCTAAAATGAAAGACACTACGGGGTTTCAAAACTAAGTATGAATTAGGCAGTGTTTGATATGCATTATTTGACAAAAAAGTGCTTATTTTTTTAATATTGCATGGCTTCTAACGTAAATTCTTTTATTTTCCCTTGTTAGGTTTTGTGCCCCTGCCAAGCAGTGCCCAATAATGGATCCTGCTTGGGAAGATCCCAAAGGTGTTCCTGTTAGTGCTATTGTATTTGGTGGCAGGAGACCTAAAGGTAAGCGTCACAAATATCTTGAATTTATATCTTCTTTCTTAAATTTAAGAGGATGCTATTATAGCATAGGATAATTCCTTTATGACAAATTCTTTTTCATCTAAGGAAGTAATTTTAAATTGAGTACAGGAAAATTTTCAAAATATCAAAATGCAAACAAGTTATGGAAGCTTATGTATGTGAGAGAGAATATGGAATTAAGGGTTTCTTATATGGTATGACATTTAAGCATTTTTTAAATGATTTATTCTAAGTACAGTCAATTCTCAGCCCATAATTGTCTAAGATAATTAACTTTTTAGAGTATCTAGTGACTTTTAAAAGGAACTCAAGATGTTTCATGTAACATTGAAAATAATAGTTTTAAACTATTTCTTGGAAACTTCTGCTTAATTAAGGTAAATGGAAGCCTCTTCTAAAAAGAAAAAAATATATATAACACTTGTTTTCTAAGTGTTAATAGTAATTAAATTTTGAAATTAAATTTAGATCTCTATATTGAAATGGTTAATTGTAAACTTTCTAATGGTTCTTAGTCTAACATTACATTTGATGAATGGCATACAAGACTTTGTATCTTCCATTATAATGGAATATTCTTGATGAAGGAATAAACAGAGCTTTAAATAGAAAGAAACAATTTTTATTTTCAATTGAAATAAATTTTTTTTGCTGTCCAAGAGTTTGATTTCATTTGTGTTATTCAACTGAAGTAGATATATTTTCTGTACAAAATTGTGAATTTTATTCAAATTTCATAATTATTATTATTATTATTAAATGTAGGCAAAGAACTTTATATATTGTCCTGCTATTTTAAGAACTTCCGACTTAGTCTAGAAATGTCTTCTACTTTGGAAAGGTGTAAAGCTTTTTTTTGTGAAGAGTATTAAGGAAATGACAAGACTCTAACAAAATATATTAAATCAAAACAATTGACCCCTCTCATTTTTTAATATACTTATCCTTGTAACTATTAGAGCATGAGTTTGGACTCTTCTGGAGGGGTACATACAGTACTACAGTAACATATTTTCGCATTTTAATTTTTATTGATTTTATAAAAATCATAGTAATTTCCTATAATGAGTAGTTACACTTATGCGTAAAATTTTATTTGCATCGTAAAATTTAGCTATCTTTTTCGTTTTATGTTTGCAGCCAGAATACAGTATTAGTTTTATTTATTTGATGAGTAATTCATAATTGTTTTACTGAAGTACAATGAATTTCAGGAGTACCTCTTATATATGAAGCATTTAACTGGAGGCACGGTGTTTTTATTGGTGCAGCCATGAGATCTGAAGCAACAGCTGCTGCTGAACATAAAGGTATATTAATAGAAAATTATAATCACAGCAAAATTCATTTGAATTATTTTTATTTATAAGAATATATAATTCCGTTATCTATTGATCATACACCTTGAATCCTACAATACTGTTTAATAGTAACAATTCAGATTTAGTTTAAAAATAGATATAACTATCTTATTATGTTTTAAATTTTCCCTCTGCATTTTTTTATTACTACAATATAAAAATAGATTTTTTGATGCATTAGATATGATGTATTATTAATTATTGATTGTTATTTTATTTACTTTCTTTTTAAAAATTTGGATGAAATTTATTTAGAACACAAGATCTGAATTTATATCTTATTATTCTAACTTTATGTAGAAAGTTCTAATGTTTTCCTTATAAAGGAATTAAGCTGCATTTTAATGAAATATCAAATATACAAGTTCAATCAGTTGAATCTAAATAAAATAGTTTTAAAAACTTTTCTATAGTTCTGTTTGAAAAAATAAGAAATAAAATATTAAGCTTAACTTATAAAGTTAATGCAATCACAGTTAATTTCCTAAATAATATGTTCATTTTATATAAAGTTTATATTTAAATGTGTGTAAGAATTCCTTATAAAATGTTTAAAGAAGTCAAATAATTTTTGGTAGTTTATTTGATATTGGTTTTTTGAAAACCGCTATCTTTTAATGTGCTTAAAAGTTGAAAAAATTCATAAAAATCTATGTATAAATTTAAAATACATTTGTCAAAGTGTCAGTAAAAAATGGAGGTAAAAGAAATTTTTACAACCATAAATCTGTATTTTTATATTTGCCAACATGCAAGTGTAAATATTCTTATTCTTCGAAGAAAATTTTCTTGAGGGACTTTCAGGATTGAAATCTTGAAAAATATTCTTATTAGTTTGAATAACTGCTGAGTACGTAATTTTCACTCATAATTCTTTGCCTTGGTAATGTTTTTGTTTTGTGTTCTTTTTGACAAACACCTTGTAAAGTGTTTNAGATCTGAATTTACATCTTTTTATATTCTAACTTTATATAGAAAGTTCTAATTTTTCCTTATAAAGGAGTTAAGCTGCATTTTAATGAAATATCGAATATACAAGTTTAATCGGTTGAATCTAAATAAAATAGTTTTAAAAACTTTTCTATAGTTCTGTTTGAGAAAATAAGAAATAAAATATTAAGCTTAACTTATAAAGTTCATGCAATCACAGTTAATTTCCCAAATAATATGTACATTTTATATAAAGTGTATCTTTAAATTTGTGTAGGAATTCCTTCTAAAATGTTTAAAGAAGGCAAATAGTTTTCGATAGTTTATTTGATATTGGTTTTTTTGAAAACCGCTATCTTTTAATGTGCTTAAAAGTTGAAAAAATTCATAAAAATCTATGTATAAATTTAAAATACATTTGTCAAAGTGTCAGTAAAAAATGGAGGTAAAAGAAATTTTTACAACCATAAATCTGTATTTTTATATTTGCCAACATGCAAGTGTAAATATTCTTATTCTTCGAAGAAAATTTTCTTGAGGGACTTTCAGGATTGAAATCTTGAAAAATATTCTTATTAGTTTGAATAACTGCTGAGTACGTAATTTTCACTCATAATTCTTTGCCTTGGTAATGTTTTTGTTTTGTGTTCTTTTTGACAAACACCTTGTAAAGTGTTTATTTTTATGCTTAGGTAAAGTGATAATGCATGATCCATTTGCAATGCGTCCATTCTTTGGTTACAACTTTGGCAACTATTTGAATCATTGGCTTAGTTTTGGCAGCAATCAGGGCCTAAAGCTTCCTAGAATATTTCACGTAAACTGGTTTAGGAAGGATGAAAACAACAAGTTCTTGTGGCCAGGATTTGGGGAAAACAGCAGAGTTTTGGACTGGATATGTCGTAGAGTTGATGGAGAAGACATTGGCCAGGTAAATTGGTCTTTACAAATTTTAGTATCCTTATTGTTTTTCAGTATTAAATTCTTTATTGCAAAGAGCTCTTAATTTTTTCATTAGCTGATATTGGCAATTAAATTAATAAATGCATTCATTTATTTAATCAATATGTTGTACAGTATATAAAATTAAGCTGAACAACCTTATAACATTAGATCAAATCTGAATGTCATTTGCTTAGAAGCAATCTTAAGAAGACTCCATACTGCACAAGAAAAGTTTTGTCTCAAATTCTCTTTCTCCTTTATTACTAATTTAAAAGAAAGAAAAAGAAAAGTTTTAAATTCTCTTTCTCCTTTATTACTAATTTAAAAGAAAGAAAAAGAAAAGTCTCAAATTCTCTCTCCTTTATTACTAATTTAAAAGAAAGAAAAAGAAAAGTTTCAAATTCTCTTTCTCCTTTATTACTAATTTAAAAGAAAGAAAAGTCCCAAATTCTCTTTCTCCTTTATTACTAATTTAAAAAAAAGAAAAAGAAAAGTTCAGGCGAATCTAGAGTAAGTCATGAAGTTTCAATTGCTGAAAAAAATATTTCAAAATATTAAAATGCAAACAAATTATAAGAAGAGAACTTCTCCGTTGTGTACTCCTAAGTTATCATCTCCTAATTTATTTTCATTTTTGATGTTTTAAACATTTCTTTTCAGTATTTGAAACTTAATGGCTTACTCTAGGTTTGTCTGAACTTACTTTTTCTACACTTTAAATTTTAAATTAGTGATGATGGAAAGAGAGAATTTGCGACAATTTTTTGACTGCGATATGGTGTCCTTTTAATGGTCTAATGAGCTTCAGAGAGATAAAGGTTTTTACTTCCTCTATGTTAACCCACAAAGAATGATATATCTGGAATTTCTTCATCAATTTAACAACTAATTAATATTTTTGTATACCTTTTTGCTTCATTTTATTCATTGAAATGTGCTCGATTAAACTTAGTTACTGAATTTTAATGGTTGTAAGTATTTTTGAAACTTTTTTCAAGTTTTAAATTTAAAAATATTTACAACCTTAAAATTTAAAATCAGATTGCTAAAATCGAATGTGCACATTTCATTGAATAAAACTAAAATAGTATTTGAAAATATAAATTAATTACTGAATTTATAAGGAAATTTCGGCGTATAATTTTCTGTAGGTTAACATGGAGTAAGTCAGACCTTTCTTCTGTCCTAAGGGGACAGAAGAAAGATCTGCCTTGAATAAAATATGCTAATTATTTTGTGTAGGCAATATTTAAATTTTAAGATATCAGGCATATAAATTAAAAATTTATACAAATGAAAATCTTATAAATTTTGATTTTTAATAAATGAGGATTCTTTTTTGCATAATAAATTGTGTAATAAAATATTTATATTTTTCTCTGATCATGCTCTGACTTTAAACTATTTCTAATTTATGAATCTGTTGTATTGTATTAAATACTTTAAAAGCAGGGTTGCCACTCCACAGGGAGAATAGGGAAAACCTGGAAAATACAGGGAATTAAAGAATCATATAAAATAACAGGGGAATTTTTATTTTTTATTTGCTTTTCCAAAATGTTGTTCTTTCGGAGTGCAAATGATGGATTATTTTAAAATTGCTCAGCTATACTATACTATACTATTTCATTTGCCATATTATTTTTGTATGTATGCTGAACTGTTCTTTATTTCTCAAAATTTTTCTAGCAGTTAAAACTAGTATTAGTTATCCTAATATAGCTCACACATTTGCTATGTGATTTTGTGTTTCCTCTTAATATATTGTGTATAATATATACAGGGAAAACACAGGGAATTTTTTTTCTTCCAGACTTGAGTTCTCAAAATTTTTAAATTTTATGTTCTAATGAGGTATGATTCTGAAGAATTATGCTTTTCATACGGTATCTGCGCACCTGGAAAGTCATGAATTTCGGTATTGAACAAAATTTGTCATGAAATGTCCTGATTTTAACTATTTTTGTTAAAAAAAAAAATCATGAACTTAGGTTGCCGTAAAATCTAATTTTTAAAATGAAGTTTACCTCCCTCCCCCAATTTCGTGGTGTTCTGAATATCCGAATTAGTAACAAAATCCCCACTCAGTCATATTTTATTAAAATATAAAATGTTTTTATCATGTTCTTTAAAAATTTAATTATTTTCTTATCTGATTATCTTTTAAACGTCTGGGATTTCAGAATTTTCGTTATTTATTTAGTTTAATTTTATCAATTTCAAATTCTAGCTGAAGCAAGCTAGTGATTGGCAAATTTTTTTTATTCCGATATAAAAACAGAAAAATCGGAATTATTTCTTTCCTTTCCAATGAACAAGGAAAGTATCTTTAGAATATAATTCTGCAGTAAGAAAATGATTTGCTTTTGCATTTTTTCAGCTATTTTATTGCTTCAACTCTTTCTTTACTGTTTTTTAAATTTAAAATCTATAAATATGAAGATGCAGAGTGTAACAGTTTTGGTTATATGTATCATTTCAGTTAATGTTATAATGCTTTTTTAAATTTATTGTGTTTTTGTCGGAGAAAATAGTAACTTCGTTAAGTCAGGAAAAATTCTTGGAATTAGTCATGGAAAGTCATGAATTTGAAAATCTAAAATGTAGAAGATACTGTTTTTATTGCTCATGAAAAATGAGTCTTAATCTGATATTTATTTGCATCATTGCAGAAAACTGCCATTGGCTACATACCTAAAGAGGGAACAATGAATTTTTCTGGTCTGTCAGAATCTGTGGATGCTAAGGCTCTGTTCAGCATTCCCAAAGAATTTTGGCTCCAAGAATGCAAAGAAGTTGAAAAGTACTTTAGCGAGCAAGTTCCCCATGATTTACCAAAGGAAATAAAGGAAGAGCTTAATTTGTTGGAGGAGCGTGTGAAAAATATGTGATTTCAAAAGAAAAGAAATATTTTTATTGAACTTTAAAAATAGGCAGCACAATTTTTTTTTAAATCCTAAAGAAATATATATATCTAGGTTCAATCCTTTTAAGATAGTGAAATGGTATTTATTTGAATGTATGTGGTCTATTCAATAGCATGAAAGTTTCACCATTTTTTCTCTCGTTATTGTTCATATATCATTTCAAAGAGTCTTATATATATATTACAGATTAAGATATTTTTTTAGCTTTTTACTCGTTAATTTGTATTATGCTTTTCTTTTTTTTTTTAATTTTCATTTGCATTTTTTCATTTTTTATTTTTACATCATCAAAGTAGTTTCAAAATTTTCTTTTAAAAAACTTGACTGAATGGATTAGTAATTTGGATAACTGCATAAGTGTTTTTTGTTTTTGAAAAAATTGCTTAATTTTATTAAATGCTCATTCTTAAATAAAATAAAACTTTTTTTTTTATGTGTGATTTGCTTTTAATAGTTTATTTTGTATGTGCTAATCAGTTTTTTTTTTAAATTTTTATTTTAGTTTTAACTTTATTTTTTTCTGCTTTTATACTTATTTTGTAAAAAAAAAAGTTTTTGTTTTTAAGCTTCATATGTCTTTTATTACCAATTTATTGCCAATTCTATCTTAAACTAATCAATTTATTCAAGAGTCGATATTAAATTTTTGATTTACGTAAACATTATTCTTGTATAAAACAACTTTCAATTTCCTTTTTTAAAAATATATAAGAATAAAGCTGTTTGATTACTTTTTTTAAAAGCAAATAACTATTTCAGCTTTACCAAATTTTATGCAATTAAATTGACACTCTCATTCCAACAAGTTTCTTTAAAAAATTATTTATTAATAATATAAATGCAATAATAAACAATAAAATAAATAATAAATTTATATTAAATAAAGCAGTGATATCTATTTTTAAGTATGTACTATTTTAGCTTAACCAAATGTGACATTACATTATAAAATGTGCAGTTAACAAATCCTTTTTATTAAAAAATATATATTGCTAAATAAATAAATTTTTATGTGAACTTAAAGATTTTCTTTCAGTATTAGGTCAGAAATATATTTTATTTGTGCCAAAATTTTTTTTAGTGTTCTTAACTAATTATAATTGATCTAGTAATCTGCTAATGTATAGTTTAATCTCTATTCCTAAATGATTTATTGATAAAAGGCCTACAATAAATTTAGCTAAATTATTTTAATTTAATACAAATGAATTTCTTAATATAGGATATTTTAATTTATGTGAAATTGTGTGTTTTAAATAATTTTATCCATGTGCTCAATACCTATGAATTGTAATAAATTCTACTTTGCTCATTATTTACAAAATATATCTTAGAACTTACTTTAGATATTAAATTTTTTTTTGATAAATCATAATTTATTGACCGAGCTTTTAGTTTGTTTTACTTTTGTAAATAATTTGTAGAAATTAATTTAGCCATTTCATTTTATGGTTAAAAATTATTCATACATTCCTTGTTGTAGAGTTAAAATCATGTACTTTGTTTTTATTTTTAAATTTTAGTTGTGTATTTGTGTATGTTTTTAATTTTACATTTTTGAAAGAAGAAAATGAGCTTGGTATAAATAAAATGAGAGATTAAGAGCAATAAAGTTAATTTAATCTTAGAAGACTTTTTTTTTTCTTCTCAAAAAAAATAGCTTGCCGTTTTAATCTATAATACTGTTTTTAAATGTTACGGTTAAATTGGTCTCATTTTTATTGTGTAAAATATAAACTTTGTTATGTAATAGATTTTGAATAAAATGTGCTTTAGTTTGATAAATTGGTTTTGTAATTTTAATAACAATTACAAGATATTTTATTTTTTCACAGACCACAAACAGTTTAAAAAATTTTTTTGTCTTAAAACACGTCTTAGTTAAAAACAGTTTTAGTTTTTACTTTAGCCTTTATGGAGCCTTATAATAATTAATCTCTTTGTTATGTTCCAAGTAAAATGATTTTTTTGGGATTCTAGATTTTTGCCTGTAATCTTGAAATAATTCATGGCTCATGACTGAGGAATTTTATGTTTGAGGGCCCCCACCAAAGGATATTTAAATAAATCCTATTTTTTCATCTAAAGATGTTAAAACAAATATTGTTTTCTAATTCCGTAATTTTTACTCATATGAAGAATTTTTTTGAGTGGTTAAAATTGTTTACTCTGATTTCTTTTCTATTTCCTTGATATGGTAAAATAGAAATCAAGGTTTGAAAGTTTCAATGAATTTTTAAAAAAGGAACATTTCATAATTTCACTGGAATGCCTCATTCTTTTTCCATATTCAGTTGTCCTACTATGATTTGTCCTTATATAATATCTTGAAGTTTATGATTTAGCATTGAAATTTCTCTGTTTGTATTTAAAGATATTTTTCAAAAAATGTAATGTACTTATTTTCTAGCATTCTTAAAATCTGTGAATACAGTAACTTTTTAAGACTTCATAAAAATTTCATTTTGCTGCTGTGGGCCGTGTTCGATCTTAAAAATAAATCTTGTTCAATTGTAATAATTTTAAACAATTGGAACATTGAATTACATTAAATTTTAGTCTGAATTAATATTATTGTTCTCACTTGAAATAAAGAATTTTAATTAATATGTTTACAACAGTTGCGAGTTATTAACCCTGTTGTTTGAAATTCAGGACAGTAAGTTTTGCCTACCTTTAGCAAACGCCATCTATGATAATTCTGAAATTGGCTCAAAATAATAGTACGAAGAAAAGGTCTCATGAAAATTGGGAGCAATTGTGGTAATGGTACAAATTAGTTTAAAAGAAGAGTAAAAAACGGAGCCTCCTATTATTTTTTTAAAAATCATATTAGATTTTGACAATAGAATATTAAAAAATATTTTTCATTGCGTAAACTCATCCTCCAAATTTTTGGAAACATTTAGCACTGAAATAGACAAGACAAGAACAATTAAATTGGATTTACTTAAAAGATACTTTAAAGCTAAATCATTAAATGTTACTTGTGAGTCACTTTGGTTAAGAAGAAAGTTTTAGTCTGAATTTATCTATGTTTTATTAAAATTTGTTCATTGGAAATGACAAATTTTTTGTAGTTTTATTCTTTAAATTGTACTATGACATCAGGCTAATTAAAAAATCCGGCACTTTGCAAATGTTACAGGCAATTTAAAACGCGCCAGGCTGATTGGAAAAATCCTTAGTTTCTAATATGCTTGTTATTTTTTTTAGACATTTTACAATCATCCCATATGGAAATGTGCAAAAAATTACTCATACTGAATTAATTTACTTTGGTTTAGTATAATCAGCCTTCACTACTCTCGGCTTATTGTAAATTGTCTAAAGTAAATCAAGGGAATTTAATATTTTCTAATTGGCTTAGAGGTAAATGATCTCACAGTAATAAGCCTAAAAAGTGTCCAACTGATTGGAACATATTGGAGACTTTTCCAATTAACACATCGTGAAATAACGCCGAATTGTTGCAAAGAGCTGAATTATACAATTAGCTTAAGACATATACACTGAAAATGTACAGTTGCATTATTTAAGGTATGCTTTTATATGAAACGAGGTTTTTCTTTATTATCACTGTCGAGGTATGCTTGGTGTTCGTAGAATTTTTTTTCTTCCTTTTATGAAAAAGCTGGAGATTGACAATACCAAAAGGACCATTTTCCACTTTGAAGTTTCCAAATAATTCACTGAGTGATTAAATTTGTCTCAGCGACAGTGCATAATTGACCAAACTAGAGTTCTCCTGTGGATGGATTGCTAGTGAATTTGCACTATGCATTTGAGTCTTTATGCTTGTAACCTGAAGTAAATAAGATTCTGTACATCCAGTCATCAAATAAATTAGCGAGTCCATCGAAGACCAAGATTCTTTGACTTATACCAAGACCAAACTGGTTATGGCAACAAGACCGAGGAGGAAAACATTTTGAAATCACAGGTAAGACTGGGCTATCGGTCTGTCCGGTTCGTAGGTCAAAGGTTGGAGATGGCCGCAAGTGGGACTGATGTTGCTAATTGCCGTACAGATAGGTCCTCGCACTTCCATTCTATGTACGTCGGTGTGCCTTTTTCTCATTTCATCTACGCTGACTCCGTAGTCTGGTCCTGGACTTTTTCCAAGGTAGTCTGGCTTTCTGGGATACATTTCATCGCCTAGAAAGACAAATTTTTACAACATAATTGTTGATTTTTGATAAACTCTCAATTGTGTTTAACAAATTTCAATGTGTTTGCTTTACGTATCTAGGCAAAATTCTACAGTACGTATTACAATGACTTCTCTCAAAATATATTTTTAGAATCCTTGTAAAAAAATTAAAGAAGCAATATATATTAGGTGTCGTAAATTAATATTTAAATAAGGGATGCTATCTGTTGTTTATAAAGGTCAAATTGAGAGCAAATCGGGAATTAAAATCATCAAAACCAGTTTCTTGGTTAAATGGGAATGTAAAGAAATTGCTTTTCTCCAAAAACAGTCTCCAAGCTTCATTTTAAAATAAATTGGTTTTAAATTATTTCAATCCCTCATTTGCTCTCAACTTGGCCCACTCGTGATAGTTTGAAAAGTTTTATGTTCTTTCTCACTTAAATATTAATTTATGTGAGCATAGTTTTATTTTAACTAATTTTTTTACTTAGATTTTAAAGTCGTGTATTAAGGGTGGCCATAGAGGAACACACTACATAGTCCAATCACCATGAAATNATAAATATTTTTTGTACAGTATTTAAACTTGATGTATTATGGTAAAGCTTTCTTAGATAGTTAGCATATGTCGAGGAGGTATTGCGTATGTTACGTATTTCAGTCAAAAAATTTTCAGTCTTGGCCTTTTTTCCAACTTGCACCCATGGTATTAAGGGTGGTCAGTGAGGAACACACTACATAGTCCAATCACCATGAAATTAAAAGTCTAAACCTTATAATATAAAAAATTAAGTTATAGTAACAGAGTGATTGTACAGTGCGGAAAAAAAACCTGAATAATTTTTGATCTAATGATTGGATTTTTATGTACTTACACTTAATAGTTCGAGGGGATGACTTCAAATATACTCATTAAATAGTACAGATGCTGTTTTAGGTTAGGAAAAACACAGACACAAAAACCTACTTTCTCTGCATAAACATAATTTTTCACCCGTTGGTTCTGACCCCCCAAATATAAGAGGTAGTCTCAATCTGAGAAATCAGCATTGGTACGACAGCCCTTTGTGGGTCTTTGCCTTCTTTTTAGAAGTTTTTCCCAATCTGCAATTAATTGTGGAACAAATAAAATTTCATGTTAATGTGGGATATAGGGCAAATTAAGCGAGCACTGAAATAGCAGCTCAACAAACATCAAGGCTACGTCATGAACTCCACCGTTCATCCATCATAAAACATTGCTAGACGGAAAGCCGGATTTTTCTTCACTTCATATCATCGTTAAAGGTATTTCAGTTGCTGATCTGAATTTTTGGGATAGTTTCTACATCATCAAAGCAAAAACTCTATAGTAAATAAACTTATTGCTGTACCATATTGTCAAATATTTGGAATTTTTTTAATTTCCTGTCATTTCATCCTTTAACAGTATATTTATCTCTTTCATATGACGTAAACTCTGTCGTATTATATCATCTCTTTTTTATCATTCTTATTTTACCATTCCTATCATTTATAATTACTAATGAAGATATACCATTGTGACTCTGAAACGCGTATAGATTTTAATTTTACCATTCGTAATTTTAAACGCTGTTTTTAATGAATTCTTAGTTTCACGAAGAATTAATTTTATAGTTTGAATTTTCTTAGTTTATTTCTTTACTTCGAAATTGCCGGGTTTTTCCCCCCCTTCATCTCTACGTTTAAGTTCTGCAGTTAATAGTAAAACTAAGGCAATAAAAGTGCTTAATTTTATAACAATTTTTTACAAATGTTACAATTATAATAAGTCCCGCAGTGGACTGATCGTTAAGACACAGTTCCCAGCAGATCACCGAAGTCAAGCATCACTGGCTACGGTCAGTGTGCGGGTGGGTGACCCACTTGGATCAGTCTGCGTAGGGACCGAGGGTGTGCGGTATTGGTCCTCGTTAAACTGTGCTACCGTAAAGTGCTCGACTTCGCGCGCAGGTCGTCGGGCTACCGAAGCGGGGGTGCCATCCCCTCCGCAGAGGATCAAAATTGAGATGGCATGTCTTCGGATCATCCTCAGGGATGTTTCCCAGACCGTCGCCAATAGCCCATTGTGCAGCTCCAGTGCGACGTAAATTAACAACAACAATTATAATAATATTTTAACTACCTCTTACTAGCCAACGTGTGCATAGTAAATACTAGTCTGAGTCGTACTGAGTTTGGCGCTATACTGTAGATTAACCCTATAGGTATAGATATATGTTCATGGTGGCCAGATTGTTCCAGCTGCCATTGTCAGTTTGCCTAGTCACTATTAGGCACTTTTGGATTGGTATCTTCTCATGGAGACAAGTTCAATTCATGGGCAAATAGTACTCATGTGCCATTAGTTCATGTCCTGGGAACCGTTGTCAACAGCTCAACAGTGTCGTTTTACCCGGACAAACCAATGTCCTGGTATAAAACTAAGAATTTATGATGCAGTCAGGTTAAGTCCAAAAGTAAAACTAGATAATTCATATTAAGTATAAATTCGGAGGAGGTCTTGACGTAGCATTATTCTGCAATATTACATTTTATTCACCTTAAAATTAATTTTGAGTTTGTTTATATCTTCGTGGATCTAATTTTATGCATGCGACTCGAAATTGGGATGGTTATTGATTTGAGAGACATTTTGTGACCAGCTGAATGGATAAAGGAATTACCTGGCAGAAGCGAGATAGCTCCATCTTTACAGGTGATGATCACAGGTAACCACCGTTCGACTCCCTTGTCACCTCTAGACACAGCGAAGTTTCTCAAAGACTGGAAGGATTGGAAGTGAATGATCCGCGACAGTTCGTACACTTGTGGTGGTGCCAAAAACACGGAATTCGTCGAGTGTTCTTCCAACATTTCCTGCGGTGTACACCACTAAAATTACGAAGTATATGCACTTAATTGTTATGAAAACTACCAGTAATACATTAACCCTTTGTTTACGGTATACCATGTTGTACCATCACATGTGGTTCATATGTTGCACCAGCCGTAAGCAAAGGGTTAAGGGTTTATTTATATCTCCCTAAATAAGAAGAAATCAGAAACAAAGAAGAAACAATTGAGAACCCTTCTTAAATTTTATCTTTTAGTTTAGAAAATTAATTTTTTATGAGTCCAAAAAAAGTACGCTGTGAGCAAATTTATTTCTGGTTTAAATTGCGAGAGATTGTTTCAAGCGTATACTTCCGATTAGATTCACTAAAATTCTTAACGCCGATGTTATTTTATTTTATAACCGGGTTTGAACAGTTGACGCATTTTTGGGTTATCGCAGGGCTCGAAAAACCACCCGTCCTCGGCGGTCAAAAATTCCCCGCGGACAACGATTTTCTCGAATCCGACGTACGCGCGGACGGCCATTTTTCCCGTTAATATTGGTGATACATTTTCAATTTTTGTTATCTTACAAGAGTCTAGCGCCTCACTTCTAAAATGACCCTCTAATCTAGAAATGCAGCAACATACTGCGCATGGTGGAATTGATGTTTTCTCTGTCTGGGAGTACTGCAGCGGTTGAAAGGGGCTTTTCAGCAATGAACTTACAAAAAAACACATTACTTACTGGTCTTAAACAAGAAGCGTTAAACGCATTTATGAACATCTACCTAAATGGAAAACCTCTTTCAGATTTCTGTGCAGAAACCTCTGTAAATCATTGGCTTGATTGTGGAACTGGCAAACGTCATATTTGATTCATTTAAAAAACGCAGTACCCTCGGATAAATTGACATGATAATTGACAGATAACTTAACCTTTGTTATTTAAATTATTTCATCAAAGAAATAAATTATTTCATAATAGAAATACTAGGTTTTACTATTAGTAACCTAGTATTTCTTTTATTACTGTATAATGTAATCCTAGTAACTACTAATTCATTGTGCAATTTATATAAATGTTTGTAATAAATAGGAGAAAATTATATTTTTATTTATTTAGAAGCGACGGGTTAGTTTCAAAGGAGGACGGGTACATTGTTGGACAAGCCGTCCTCGGGGACGGGTAAAATTTCTGAGTTTTTTCGAGCCCTGGGTTATCGACTATCAGTGTTCAACCTTGTAATTTGAACCCAACCCAGAAGACAGAGGAACTCATAGATCAAGAAATGGGAAGAACTAGCCTTGGTGAAGAACTTGTTGATGGACCTAACCTGCATTTGCGTTACACGGAGAGGAAAACTAAGAAAACCTGCCACGGTTTGTCCGATGGTAAGAGGATTGATTATAACCCTGATCATTGAGGGTATATTTTTTTCAGCACAGAGGTCGGTGCGAGCTAGAAGTAGAATCTGAATCGACCAATCATCGCTGGGATTCAAACAGGGGTCACTTCATTGGAATACGAGTGCTCTACCCCCTGAACCACCAGGGATCAAGGCGCACGGTTTCTATCCTCCATAGCTTCATGCATCTGTTAAAATTACAGGCCGATAAGGACTCAATTTTTCCTTTATTTGATATAGTTCACTAACCCATTCGGTGTAATGGGTGGAATTTTTGCTTACCATGACTTGGTCAAGGGTCAAATTCCCCGTGTTAAATGCCTGGTGTTTTATCAAAATGCACTTTTTTAAGATCGTGTCTCAGTGGTTCGGAATACACTCCAATGTAATATCCCCGGCGATTAAAGCGCTCGGTTTGATGGTTGGGTAGCGCGGTGAGAAGTCTGGATGTTTATTACCACTATCTGTTCTTGGATCTAAATTGTAGTAATGTAGAGCACGCTAGTGCCAGTATTGTCATCGGATCATCCTTATAATGAATGTATCCTAGAACATTCCCAATAGCCTATCAGTGTAGCTTTAATACGGCATTAACAACATGATCAAAAGGTAGTAATAACGACATTGGAAGTTTCATATTAACATTTAATAGAGGAAGCAAAAATTTTTTTATTAAAATCTAACAAATTGTTATCGAGTGTAATCAGAGCATAGGAGGAATAATACCATATCATCAAAAACCCATTTATTCCCATTATAAGCAGCAGTTTGTAATTAAAGGCAAACGTCTTGCTTTTTCATCTGGCGAACTCGAGGAACCATATACGAGTCCAAGAAACGAAAAACTTCATTCGTGCAAGCTGGCTACGAAATCCGTGTTTTTTCTACTCTCTTTAAAAAAAGTTATAAAACTCACATTTTTTTTTCTGTTCTCCCAACAAAATTTTAAACTATTTTTTAAGTTGATTGTCTTTAATTAATTTTCACAGCATTAATGGTAGAGCGGTCGGTAGTTTTGAGCGGACAATGCAAACTGTTGACCAGTTTGGAATGTTAAATTTCCAGTTGATTTCAAGATCAGTTTTTCAATGGATCGTTCCGTTTACAATTTCAGAAATTGTTCTGTGATATGACTTCCTTTTTAAATGCTCTACCTTGATCTTTCTTTAAGAAACATTCAACTCTTTTCTGTTAATTCCTGTCTTAACTTTCCAAGCTCTCCAAACCTCGAATTTATAATAAAGTTGAGAAGAAACTTGCAATCAACTAAAAATAATGACTTCGATCAATTATTCCGCAATAAAAGAGCATTAAACGTTTTGTATCATAAGTGCATAACATAGATATTTAGTGGATGATGATTGGCGATAGTTTTGGCGGCGAGTTTTTTTTAATGAGTTGGTAAATTTTTGTTTCAATTATATTTAACAAATCACTGAAAAGTGTGTTGATTTTCTTTGGCGAGATTTCTATTGTGGTTTTAGCTTAAACTAGGATATTAGCACCTATACGCTGAAATTTGGGGGTAAGTTTATTTGAATGTTATATTTCTATATTAAAATTATGAAAATGATTTTAAATCCAACTGTATAAAAACAACATTGAAAATCTTCCAACTCTATGAAAACAAAATTGAAATGTTCTTTGAGGGGAAAAAAATAAATAAAACATCAGAGTTGTCCAAATCATTTTAGTTTGGTTGTAGTAGAACAAATAATTTAAATGAATTCTTACGATAGTTTGTTTATTTTGTGGTAAGCGTTTAAAATTACAGCTTTTCAAAGAGTGGAATAAAGATTGTTGCTATTTTAAATAGTAATTCAGGAAAATTTCCTGCTTCAAGAAGGCAGCCCTGGTTTAACATTTTATTTCACTAGTAGGGTAAGTTATTTCAAAACAACGTGTGTATTTTCAAATAAAAGTTCTTATTATTGATATTTGCCCTTGAATTTTTCACCTAAGTCTTAATTTCGATTTGTTATTTTTAAAAAAAGATGTATAAAATTGCATGCAAACAACCTGGAAATAATTCTCTTGAAAAGATTGATTTTAGATGCTAATGTTTTTATTTTCCTTTACTTCGCTTTTTACAAGAATTTTTGAAATAAATACTATGAAAAACCGTGATTGCATTCTACTTGCACAGTACGTGTTATGTTTAGATTAAAATGTATATTTTAAACAATCTTTAATTCTAATTATTCTAATAAATAGTTCAGCATGTAAGAAGGCCGGGGTAGCCTGGTTGATAGGATGCTGGATTTGAGCTCGTGACAACGCGAGTTCGAATGTCCACCGGTCGAAGAATCCCCGTGTATGAAATGGTGACTGATGCACGTTAAATCTGTGGGGGTCACTAAGTTCTTCAAGTTTCCATAACATGTCAATTTCTCTGGGAGTACTGAATTGGAGATTGATCGTTTTCTGGTTCAGGTCAAAATTACGATCTTTGGATGAATGGAGTATGATTGGGTCCTCCCTGTAAAACGGCCTGTGACGTGTGTGTGATTGAAGTCGTATTCTTAACCATAGATGGCGCCACTGAAAAAATACGAAACGCACCCTCTGCCTAAAGAAAATTCGCTTGATTTCAAGTAGACTTACTGGTATTGGCAAGTGTCATGAGCATATATGGCAGCGTTACTTTTAAAAAGTAACGAGTAAAAGTACAAGTATTTTTCAAAAAAGTAACGAGTAAAAAGTTCTTATTTTAAAAAGTAACGAGTAAAAAGTACAAGTAAAAGTACAAGTACTAAACAAAAAAAGTAAAAAGTTAAAAGTGTAGTATATGTGTTATTCTTAAATAAAGTAACCT